TTCAATACAATAGTAGTTGTGTCGTTTCAATAGTGTGACATTAAAATTATTTACCGTTTTTCAGCATGTGAGGAATATTAAAAAATTAAATGAAAGAGAATCAATTGTAATTTCAATGTGTGGCATTAAGAAAGAATCAAATAATTCAAGATTTACAATTTTTGTGGCAACAGCAGAATGTTAAAGAGTTAAATGAATGATTTTGAATTTTTTTGATAATAAAATATGTGAATGTTAGGGCTATTCAAAGCGTGATATTCATAAACAATCAATCAATTTGAGATTTTTTTTTCTTAATCTTAAAAATGATTTTATTTTTCATGACGAGAGCTGAAGTATCACAAAATTAAATGAGAGTCAATTTTACTTTCAAAGTGTGGCATTAAGAAACAATCAATTGGAGATTTAATTCTCATAAAGATGATATGGTACCCTAAAAATCCTCACCTTATGGAAATTTTTTTTTATTGGCTTACTTGATACCTCGAATCTTTATAAACATGCCTGCAAAATATTTCAAAGCTTTATCTACATTTTTTATCAAGTTATGGAGCAATATTTGATGCTGGACAGCAAATACCACACCCACATTTCAGATTATCTGCTAGAAAAGAGCCTGATAAAAAATGAATTAATTATTTTTCTACCGCGCATAAATGAGATTGACATTATATCTGCAGTAACAAATAATTTCAAGAAAGAATTGTACAATTCATGCAAAATTCTAGTTTGGGTATTGTTTATTGGGGTGAGCAAATGGATTTGGTCAAGATTTAAAAGTTGTTCGTGCTTTTTATGATATTATTATGAATGAAATTAAAACTTCAAAACGGATTCTCCCAAAGCACAAATACTAAATCTCATTTAGATAACTCAGATATAATTAAAAATCTAATCCGCAAGAATAGAAAACTCACCCATTTTTATATATTGTTTTTGGTGATAATATATATATTTCATGTGTGTGAAATTCAACACTTTTATTATTAAAATATTTTAAGATATTTATTTAAACAAATGCACATATACAGTTCTTAGACTTTGATATATTTTACTTATAAATTTCTATTTGATTTTGCTTTCTTTCGTGTACAGTATTTAACATGCGAGGGCTTTTAAAATCATGGAAATAAGAAATAAAGGCATAAACATCTTTTGTACATGTGCATTAGATCTGAGAATGGAATTAGCTCTAAAGTGTGTATATTTATTTTTTTTAAATTAGTTTTATGAAATATTGATCTTTCATTCGTTTCTTCTATATATTCATCATGGCAGTATACTGCTTAATTGTTCTACATTTGTGCAATTTTTATGGTAAACAGTTTTAAATAAGCTAATTAACATTTCATAAAAGTTTCAGATTATTCGATGAATATTATACGTATCATACTATTCATGGAATGAAAACTTCAAACTCATTTTTCTCCATATTGAATTTTTGAAAATATACTATTATTCAAAACCCTAAGGCATTTTTGATTAGTTGAAGTATGGGTTTGAAATTTTTATACGTGTTCTGAAATGTATGTTTTGTAAAACTGTACATGGAATTAGCTCTAACATGTTTTATTACTTTTTCTAAAAAATTTCAAAATCAAAATTAATGTTTTTTTAGGAATTTTGGAAGTTTAACTATAAAAAAATTAATAAAAAATTAAAGAGCAGTAGCATAAAAAAACCCATGCCTAGTTTTATGTAGTATATTATAAGGTACTTGGAAAAAAATTTGAAAAAAAAAGAACATATTTAAAAAAGCCTTAAAAATTTTTAAAATGTTTTAAATTGTTCAAAAATTTAAATTTTACAAACATTTTGGAACAAATTAAAATTTTTTATATGGAATTATTATTAATATTAACCTTTATAAAATACAATTAAAACCAAATATCAAATATTAAAAACAAAAAAATTCTGTAGATGGTACATATTGCCTAAACATTAAAAATGCTTTTGCAATTTTTTTAGGATGACCGCTGGAATGTTAAGGAAATTAGTGAAAGCGTGGATTAAGGAGGGGAAGGCTTGGCAATGTAAATTTTTATTGGTGACCAAAATCGTTCTCCAAGCTACTTCATTTATCAAAAATTGTTTTAGCAAACGGATTCAATAACCAAGCTACCTATGAATCTAGATAAAAATCACCAAATCCAAAAGGCCCCTAATCTACACAATAAAAAAACATAAAAATAGGCATTAAAACTTTCAAAAGAAGAAAACTTTTTCTCACTGAGGTGAAAAATGTTGTATATCTATATAATTGTGACAAAATATATAGGTATGCACAAAATTGATGTTATGAATTTAAAGTAAACTTTGTTCATCACAAATTTAGAGAAATATGTTTTTGTTTCAGAGTTGAGTATTTCAAATTTATATTAATCTCGGGACACTATTTGCAAAATTCAATATTACATCTCAATCCGTTGGTATTATATTTGGCATAATTGTATTTATGTTTGTTTTAAATTCTGCAATTTACCCAATGCCATTGTGAGTCCTTCTTCCTCCTATGACCTAGGAATAAATCTTAGTCCAATACTATTTTTATTATATATATTGACTAATCTCTGAAAAATCTAAATGACATTGACTAAAACATTTTTGTAGTTTGCAAAGATAAAAGACCAATTTTTTTCAACTACTTTTTAAAATATTTTCCCGTTGAAAATACTTTATATCACATGTAAAATTTTTCATTTGATATAATATTTTGCTTTTAATAACAATAAAAAATATGTAAAATTACAAATATTTGGTGTTTTCATGTTTTTTTTTAAATGTTTATTAACGTTTTTAGAAAACTATGCATTAAGGAACACCTGAATAGTAATACCTGTTTACTGTTTCAAATTGTATATAAGCAATTGTATCTAAAATAATTCAGCAGCAAATAAAAATGAACAAATTCAATAAATAATTTAATCATTTCAAGGAATATAAATGATAATCTTTAGTAACTCAATAAGACTTCAATAAAAAAAAAAAATTAAAAAATTAAAAAAAAACGATTTAAGTTGCAAAATTTCTTTATAGAAAGACTTCTATCTACTTCACCAAAAATCTAAAATGTTAAAAGAGAACTTTTTATACACATGTTATACCGAAGAAAAAAGAACTTTTGGATAGACATTCTGTATTAGTTTTACTAAAATATTTGATTTTTATATAGATATAAATAATTTTTTGGTGCTTACGTATTACCGTAACAGTGCCAACGTTCAAGATAATTCGCCAAATTAGCTACCCCGATTTCTTATATGTCGTACTGAATTTATAACCATACGCTTCGTTTCATATAATGTCGCCCATAGGTTACGATAATACGTAAATACCAAATATTTACATAGTTTTCTTTCGTATTTATATCATTATTTATTAATTTGCAAAAATAAATGAAAGGCAGACGACATGATATTTCATACAGTTGACTTAGCTAATATTTATTGTTTTGTAAATTTTAAAAAAAATCAGCAGTATAGTATTAATTCGAACTCGTTCAAACTGCTTTGCATCGTAAGAAATCAATAATATTTTCAAAAAGGAAATCAACGTTCTAAAAATGCTGAGCGTTAAAAAAATAATAATTTACTACAAAATAAAGGGGTTTTTTTAGTGGATTCTCTCTCACAGGGTAAGTATAAACAGGTTCATCCTAAAGATTTGTACTTAACGATATATTTTTTGACTCGAGAATACGAATTGCTGGTAAAAAAAAATCTTTCCAATTTCTATTTGTGCATCGCAAAATAATGAAACGATAAATAAATGTAAGTAAAATAAAAATATGCCCATATCTTCCTCCCTCAGAAATCATATGAAGAATAAATACTTGACATGAGGTCACATGAAATCGTATCATAGAGAATCACTAAAAAGTGAATTTTTCAAAAATTTACTGCGAATTGGAAAAAAATCTCTTCAATACATTAACCCCTACATATATTTTCCTCGTGCCAAATTCCAGTATCTTCGTCTTTCCGATTTTGTGTTTCATCATATCTCCACATAGACAGGTAAACGCATATACAATTTATTTCCCAATTATGGTTCTTGGACCCTTTTAAGTATCCTCCTTGAAAATTTTCATCCGCCTTTATGACATTAATTTAAGATCCCTTTTTGTCTGCTAATTTACAGCAAATATATTTTAACGAGGCTCATAAAACTTAAAAAGGAATCCATTGATTAAATATATTTTATTTTCAATCGATTTTTCGTAAAAAAGAAATCTGGAAGCAGATAAAGCGAACAAGCACATGAAAGAAAATGCATAACGTTAAGGAAAGGGTGAAATGTCAAATTGCTCTTCCCCTGGGGCATTTCTTTTCGGTATGCTGAAAGGAAAACAGCTTGTTTCTCATTGGTGGAGGAGTAATAATATGTCTCACATAGTTTGTCTTATTTGGCGCTTTAGCTTCTTTCTATGTCTTGGCAATTCACTGAAATAAAACAAAAATTATTTGTTTTTGCCTCTCTATTGGCATATACCTTAAATTTATGGAACACATTAAACACATCTATTATTTTTTTTCATCATAAAAAAAGCATAATTTTTTTCGTTTTCCTGAAATCCAAATGATTTATAGATTTACATATGTAGAAGAAACATTTGTTATTTGAACCAAATAAATAAGTAAAGAAATAATGAACAGGAAATTAAGCATACGAGTTTTCAATTATGTATATATTTAAATTCATAATATTTGAACAAGTAATATAAAAAAATGTTTTTAAGTCGATTCCTACTTAGGTGAACAAAGAAAAATTTTATTTTAGTTACTTTTTTTAAACAGTTACAATTAATATAAATATGTATATATATATGACAGAATCACAAAATTAAGTGACAAAATAGAAAACATTTTCCTTGTAATTTTCCTTTCCATATGGTCTTGGATTATTTTTTGTTTGTTTGTTACTATTTATTCGTTAATTAAGTTTAATTATTCTAATAAAATATTGTATTAAAAAAGAAATAACATTTTCAGAAATTAGGCCATCCCAGGTGGGATTCAAACCAACGACCTTTATATTAGAAGTCAAACGTGCTATTCATTGTACTACTGGGATACAGCGAACGATTTTTCTTTTTATATATGCTGTCGGACTATTATTTTTGTTTTTTACTTTTTCTTCATTTTTCAAATTTAATTAATGAATTAATATTCGAAAAAACTGTATTAACATCCACTAAAGTTTTAAAAAATGTATTTTTGAACGTGAATGGATGAATAGAAAAATATTTTACTAAAGATTGAAATTTTGAAAAAGATATATCTATATAGGGTAAGAGGAATTGAAAAAACGAATTTCAATGAATTCAAATTTTTTAAATATGTGTGTTAAAAATAAAGAATTAAAGTAAAGAAAAGAAAATGCAAGATTTAATATAAATGCGCATTTTCTTTACTGCTAATATTTAAAATGAATGAATTCTCTCCTAAGTAATACAAATGGAAGCTTTACAGTATACTTTAATAAATGCGTAGTTATTAACTTTATTCCTTTTACGTACCTAAACGATTTATTATGTTATATACAGTAAAATACGTTTAACGCGAAAACGCTTAAGATGAAATATCGGTTAACATGAAATAATACAATGGTCCTGACAAACTTATGTATTTTCATGCATTTTTCTCTTAACACGAAACGAAAATCGTTTAACACGAAATATCTCCCATCTGGAAGAGGGAGGATATTGAAACTGAACCGACAATTAACGAAATGTTAGAATTTCTGTATGATTGGACTGTCCTACTGTATTTTTGGAAGAATACATTGCAGTAGATGATGGTAATATGTATATAGCCCCAATTATGGCAGACGAATACATTTTGGAGTTTGTTGGGGGGGGGGGAATCATTGATGCAGATTCGGACGACGAAAATGAATCATCCTAAATAAGGAACATCTGAAAAGTATGCGTGCACATTCTAATGGTGAAATGAATAACAAAACGGACGACATCAAACAATTTGTTGACTATTTGATGCTGAAAAAGACAATACAAAGAAAAATATCAGATTATTTTCTAAAAACTCAATAAAAATGATTTGATTCTCAAAAAGAAAATTTTGTATTAAACTTCATTGTTTTTGTATTATTGATTTTTATTAAATACATGTATATATACATACTCTCTTTGTAAATAAAATATACTCTAATAAACTTAATTTTGTTGAATATATGTTCTTTTTTTTTCCCCTTCCTTTTTACAGTATCTTTTAACACGAACAAATATTTCACCCCTTCAATTTCGTGTTAAACGATTCTGACTACATGCAAAACTTATTTTTTTCTTCAGAGTAAACTAATTTGACGAAATATCCTATTTTCTTTTAATTTTAGAATTAAATATGAATTCTTTTAGTTCTTAAAAAATTCATTTAAAAATAATTTTTTAAATGAATTGTTTTTTTGAATATTTGGAAAATTCCATTTTTGCGAATTATAATAAAATTAAGTGATGTATGGTTATTACATTGAAACCTTTTTCTAAAATTTTTTATACATTAATTTTTAGTGTTTTTTTTCTTTTTTTGACAATTAAGGAATGTTTATTATGTATGTTTAATAAATAATAGTGAAAACAATATGGCTGCCACATCACTATTTTGTTTGATGGAAAAACCCTCCCTATTTTTGGAGGAAAGGGGTGGGGTATTTCAAAAACCAGGCAATTTGGTCATTTTTTTTTAAAAAAAAACCATAATTCCATTAGCATACATTAAAAGGAAAAAAAAATTAGATATGTATTTTTTTCTCGTAAAAAAAAATAAACATTCCTTTCAATATATGTGTGTTCTATTTGTAATGAGTTTAAATTACCGAATTGATAATAAATCCATGATTGGCGAGAGAAAGAGGGAGAAAGTTATCTCATTATATATATATATATACGATTCGCTGTAAAACTGCACGAAGGCTATTCGTGACGGACCTCAAAATTTCGAACCGTAGTCTACGAAAACTGAGCAGGAATTTCCCCCCTGTCCCAACTTTAACACCAAACCACTGGAAGGACGTTTGAACCTCGACATATTTAACTTGCATCGGCACCCCCTACACAGCGGGTCCTCAGCGGAATGAAGCTCTTAACTATCTTTGGGTTTGAATGAGTGGATATTAACGTTACACTGTTCAGCTGATCGAGGGCTTTTGGTGACTGACCTCGTAATTTGAACCATGATCAAGTGACGAGGACGACATCTGAGCTAGCACCCTCTCCCTCTTAACTTCCACACCATACCAACGGTAGGTTTTAGCCTCGACATATTCAACGTGCATCGGACCCCTCTGCACGTCGGTATTACGCTCGAACTTATGACACTCTGGCCACGAGTCCGTTACCTTGACCATAGGCTACTGCGGCTATCCTTCGGGTCAGAAGTTGACGCCTTAGTTGACTGGGACAAAAGAAGATCACTGGTTTAAGCACTTTTTTAAAAAAAATTATTATTATTCCTTTATTGTTTAAGTCTTGTGGAAGAAGGGGTAATTCACTGTAAATTCATAATCTGGCCCAGTTTTTAAGCAATAGGAACAATTAGTGTTTCCATTTAATTCTGAATGTCTGCTTTTTTCTCATAATTTAGTTTTCATATTTAGTCTTTCAAAACAAAATTTTTTTTAAATGTTTTCATTCGTTTTAAGCCAAGATATCAGTGAAATATTGGCTAACGATCAATCTATTATTTTACTTGTATATTTAGGGGGGAGGGGGAATTTAAATTTTTAAATAAAACACGTATTAATGGTTGATCTAACGATTTATCTAACTTTAACTGATTTCCAATAAGACTAAAAAAACAAAATTATTTAAATAAATCTATTAATTAATAGATTCATTAGCAATATACTTAAAGTTAATTAATTTTCATATTTTGTATCATACAAAATTTACCGAGGAAATACGCAGTTCATATTTCTTAACATTGCGACGTATTGATTAAATTTTAAAGAAATCGACAAAATCAATTTTCCTTTTGTTTGAAATATGTCATTACAGCATTTAGTTTATTGCCGTAGCTATTGAATTTAAATAGTTGTACAGCGGTTATATAAAAATGAAACAGCAAAGAATTTAGAATTATTTATTAATCGCAATTATAATATTTATGGATTCCCACTCACTAATGCTTGAGTGTCTAATGTTGTCATATTTTATCAATTAATGAAATATCCTTTAGATAACAATCTAGGAGAATGGCACAATTAGCTAGAAAAAAATAATCACTAGCAATACATTTAAAATTTGGCTGTTGAATATCGAGTTTTGTAGAAATCATAAAATTTATTATTTAAAAAAGTATTAGAGAATATAAATTTTAAAGCTCTTTTTCTCCTAAATCGTATATTACAAGCAAATAATTCAATTATTATTTTTTTAAAAAAAGCTTTACAAAAAAAAAACATGTAATTTCGGAAAATTGATCTTTTTATTTTTATTTTATCAATCTTTTTTAGATTAAAAATAAAAATCCAGGTATACAATGCAATAATTTCAATCCACGGAGAAAATGAGACGTTTGGCATCGCATTCCAAGGAGATGTCAATGTTGGCGACAGAATGGCTTGGGGCTCTGTAACCCCACTGTAGCTTTCCCTGCTCCTCTGCAAGAAATGTATCCCTCTGTTTAACACAACTTTCAAGGGATTTTATCTATTGTACCGTTGACATAAAAAAAGTGTTGAGATTTTCTCTGGAATTTTACAAAACGAATAACTTATCGAATACAGTAAATAACGTGCTTTCAAGATAAATAATGCTTTCAGGAATATATTAATTTTTCCTTAGTAGAAAAATTTAAATAAAAATAGTATCCAAATTGCAATGAAACCTTTTCTTTTGCCTGAAGATTAAATTAGATTTTACGTGCTTACATCTAAGAGCAACTAAAACTAGTGAAGAAATCCAAATGGCTTTCCTTCGAAATGATAAATTAGAAAATCAGCTTCCTACTCATGTCAGTGAAAAGTCTTATGTTAGGGATATCTACGAGAATGCTACCCCCCAGAACAAGAATTTGAATAGTCATTTACATGCATATACGGAAGAAAAACCTTATATTTGTGAAATCTGCAAGGAAGCTTTCTCTGAAAGTGGTAAGTTAGAATCACACTTATGTATTCATGCAAATGAAAAGTCTTGTATTTGTGAAATATGCAACAAATCATTCTCTGAAAGTGCTCAGTTAGAATCACACTTATGTATTCATGCAAATGAAAAGGCTTGTATCTGTAAAATATGCAACAAATCCTTTTCTGAAAGTGCTCAGTTAAAATCACATATATGTATTCAAACACATGAAAAGCCTTGTATTTGTGAAATATGCAACAAATCGTTCTCTGAAAGTGCTGAGCTGAAATCACACTTATGTATTCAAACAAATGAAAACCCTTATATTTGTAAAATTTGCAAGAAAACATTCCCTCAGAGTGGTGATTTGTCAACACATTTGTGTACTCGTACCAAAGAAAATCCTTTTGTCTGTGAAGTATGCAGCAAAGCGTTTTCTACAAACTGTTTGTTAAAAAAACATTTTCGTGTTCATACAAAAGAAAAACCTTATGTTTGTGATATCTGCAACAGGGCATTCTCCCAAAATGGTAATTTAGTAATACATATGCGCATTCATGCAAAAGGAAAAAGTTATGTATGTGAAAAATGCAAAAATGGATTCTCTCATTTAGGTGCATTAAAAGAACATACATGTACCCCCACCAATGAAAATCCATATATTTGTAAAGTTTGCAACAAGACATTTCCTCATAAATTAGATTTAAAGACACATTTGCTTATTCATACCAATGGAAAGAATTATGTTTGCGAAGTGTGCCACAAGACGTACTCTCGAAGTAGTAATTTAAGATCACATTTACGTACTCATACAGATGAAAAGCCTTATACTTGCAATGTCTGCAACAAGAAATTCCCTCAGAACAGGGTTTTAAAAGCACATATGCGTATGCATGCCAATCTAAACCCTGTTTCTTGTGAAGTATGCAACAAGACATTCTCTAGAAAGAGTACGTTAATACAACACTTGCGTGTTCATACAAAAGAA